ATTAATATCCACTGACAAAAAAGATAAAAGATATAAAAAACAAATAAATAAATAAACTTAACCTCCAAACTCTTCAGATGGAATAACTCACAAATGTCTTACCCTACCTGATAGTGATGATCTGCCCAAAGTCTAGCTCGTAGTTGTTGACTTGAGCTATAAAGATGGCTGCCACAGCCTCATATAGGGCAGTGCCGTCCATGTTGATAGTGGCGCCAACAGGAAGTACGAAGCGAATGATGCGGCGGTCGATGTGGTTGTTCTCCAGGAGACACTTAAATGTGATAGGCAGCGTGGCGGAGCTGGAGTACAACACAAGAGTTTGTCGTTTACATTTGTGCTACTTTCAGTTCAAGGCTGGAATTCACCACTCAACTTTTCACTAGAATTCAGAATTTACATTCTGGACAGTCAGAGTTGACAGATTTCACAAGATGTTGCATAGAGTATGATATCGGCACAGACTCCAATATTTTATCTTTAGACTATGATTCCATCTGGCTGGAGCGTATTAAACATGTTTGATATTTAGAGTCGATTTTAGAACATTTAGAGCATTACACATTGTTTTCATATGTCATGTGTCTTCTAGCAACGAAGCACCTGTTTCTGCGTCTGTTGTGTTTGGAACAACTTGAAAGTCTGGAAGTGTATGATCTCCAGTCGTTTAGTGTGTGATGCCCAGTTGGTAAGTGAATGATGCCAAGCGTGTTGATTTGAAGTTGTGTAGTTTATTCCTGTCTTTAGTTTGTTATAATCTAGCAGGACCTATCTCAAAACATGAACTGCATAAAGGTGCTGTTACCTGGATGCAGTAGCTAATGAGATGAGCAGGGCCTGTAAAATCCCTCGGATGTAGACGATGGGGCTCTTTTTTGTAATGAAGAAATACATGGAAGGCAGAATGAACAGGCCGTGAAGCACCAGCCCCATGACCACAGTGATAGCGTAGAAGCCCAGTTTCTTTCCCATAGCTGAAGGGTCGTCCATTTCCAAGATCTTCCCAGCCACCAGAAACACAATTCCAAACGGGAAGTACCTGTAGTGTAACACCAGAAATAGATGGCATTCTGAGGTGGGATTCACCAAACAGTTGCACACGGAATGTAGGTGCAAATACTGGGTGCAGTACTGAGTTTTTTTTTTGTGCTGAAACTGTGCTGCATATTCAGTATTTAAATGAAGTCATTGATATTACTTTGATATTCACAAACATGCTTTTTCTATGTAAAATAGGCTCATTGGAGGCTAAAGAATTGTGCCTAGCACAATTTGCATCATGGTTTTACCACCAAATGAAACTACATGGTAAATGAACCTATAAGTTCTATATAAAAGAGCCTGAGTGCACATTCTATGCAAGTAAGAATATTATGAACAAGAATATCATAGTTTCACTTAAATGAGACTGAAATTATTCTATTTATACATTAGTGTCAATGTTAATTGGCCAGTGCAAACTGGCATCGGTGCTAATTTGATATGTGTTTGCGCCATTGCCTAAACTACAGTATTCGCTGTGAATCGGGTGCTAAATCAGCGCAGTTGGCATATGCGAAAAAAACGTTTGCACAATTGCAACATTTTCAATTTTTCATTCTAAGTGAATCTACCCTTTACCCTTTACCCTTACCCTTTGATGTGAACTTTAAAATCACATCAGATTAGCTTTTTGACATGTTTGTGGTCTTGTACTTTTAAATATTCAATGTCTGCCATAAAAAAAAAACATAAAATTAAATCACTTATTTAAAATAAAAGATTTTGACATTCAGTTGAAAAAAATCTAAAATGCTTAATGCGTTTCTCAGAAATTAAATAATTTAAAATTAAAAACAAAATCTAATTTTGAGGCACAAACGGCACTGTTTGGTGAGAATGACAAACATGAAGAACATTCGACAACTAGGTAACTCTCCATGTAGTTATTTGGTTTATTGTCATAGTGAGACATACATTAATTTTGGGTTTCAGTTACAAGATGACGCCTGTCTTTACCATATAACAATGGCCACAATTTTCAGTACAGCTTCATTCAGACTCTGGCAGAAGTTGACAAGAGCGCTGCCATTTGGTCCCATTCTTCCAAGCATGATTCCTAAATGACAAGAATACTTGAGTATTTATAAAACAGACTGGATAAAGCTGTGGAATTTCAGACATTGCTGCTACAACTCACCCATAGTAGCTGAGAAGATCACGATACCGAGGACGTTCATGCCCTCACTGGTGCCAGGAAGCGTTCTGAAGACCACATCCGGAGGTGGCGTCAGGTCAAGGGAGAAGTTCTGGATGTCTGTGCCATTGTCATCCTGGATTCCATAAATGAAGACCCGTCTGGTGGTGGTGTCTAGTACGTCCTGACCAATTGTGGGTTTGGACTTCATGATAGGGATGCTCTTTGTGCGATACTACAATTAATAATTAACATGGCATACATAAATTAACAGCAAAATCATTGTAATGCGAAAATATAAAAGCCAAAGGTACAGTAGACAACATTACGTATGCAATTCTGGCCGATATTAGCTGATAATTATTTCCATGTTATGGCCGATAATTTGTTTTGTCAAAATAAATGAAATAAAACACTAAAAGCTAAAATTGATGAAGTGGATCACAACATTATAATGTGCAGTTTGAAAATTTGATATTAATTTTGAAAACAATAATAAAGATCATATTTAACAGTTTTTAATTTATTAGTGTTTTTAAGATTGACAAATGGGGAAATGAGCTGTACAATTAAATAGCCAATACTGACGAATACCAAAAAAAAAAAAAAAAAACTTTAATACTGGCCGGTTACAGTTACATATCCTGCATCTCCACCTAAAATTACAAATTACAGTGGATGGTATGTAATACTGGCCGGTTACAGTTACATATCCTGCATCTCCACCTAAAATTACATTCTTATGTGGATGGTATGTATAAAAGGGAAATTTTGGTGTTATTTAGGAATCAACGTTTCAAGTCAATATCAGTAAATATCTTTAATATGACATTTTTCTGGTTTAACAGCTCAAGCATTGAAGGCACAAACTAATTTGAAAACACAAAAACTCACTTGCTGAAAAGTTGCTTGGACCAGGTTGGCTGGGAACATGTTGCTGATGGAGGAAAGAGAGGTTTTTTATGAATATTATTATGAATATTAATGTTTATTGCACAGAATCAGTGGCTTTCTGATTTTTCCTAACCTGCTGAAAATACTAAACTGGTTTATTCCGATTATCTACTAATTTGGTGCTGGTCAGGCTGGTACGCCAGCAAAACTAAGCTGTTGAGGCGGAATAAACAAGAACTTTTGTTGATTAAGCTAATTAGGTTAGTTATGGGACCAACATCCAAAACACAACATTTGTTGTTGATCAACCATGGTATTTTTTTGCATCTGTAAAAGCACCCCTTGCATAACAGAAGAAGAGGGGTATATGAAGTCCAGAGACTTTTCAGTTGGGCAAAGTCCAACTCTGTAACTGCAGTTTAAAATGTATGAACCTAAAAGTTAAAAGATAATAACAGCATTTAAGCTAAATTCAAACAACTACACTTACAAGCAAATACACCACAAAGGGGTCTGTGATGTCAAAATGCAGTTTTATGTTGGTATATGTTCTTTCCCATCACCAGCAAAACATAAGTGCATTGCAGAAGTGTGCATACTGTGACACAGTCAACTAATCCTAATCCAAGTGTCTTGCTTTAGTTTGCTTATCAACACACTGTCTGGTTAGCACAGAGGGCCCCAGAAACGCCAATCCCAATAACCTCTCAATGGAGGTCACAAACATCACATGCTAATTTGGTACCTCTCTAATTCTACCTGTCTAAGACTTTCATCATGAAATGCACTGTTAAAAAATAAACTTGTGGCTTTAAGTAAATAGTCTCCTCCTCCTTCATCACCTCAATGAGGGCCATATGGTCTCAGGCTCAGATTAGTAATCAGTTTAGGCTCCAGTCTTCACCCTACACTCCAATGACAGAGAGCCATGCTCTGTCACGCAGCACAGGTGACAGGTGGGGCAGAAATTCCTTATTCCTTAGTCCTCAGCCAACCCTAAACTGAGCCATGTCTAAGCTCTCCTGATCCCTCAACATCATAGCCACTTAACATCTCCACGGAAATTCAGGCTGAAATAAAGTCATTATGTCTTTTAATCAACATAGGGCATGTAAAGGTGCAATGCAGTTGCCTTTATGTGTAATGTGATTTATGTTTAGATTTCTGAGGAATGACTATTAAGTAAGTAGATAACAATAATAATGCTCATAATCAATAAACACAGTACAACACATGCATCATTGCATACAAAATGTGTGGCTCACTTTTAAAGACCATTGTCCTTAATACCTATGCTTTCCAACAGTCAAGTCTGTCAATAGGAATGTCAAGGTTTGGGCTTTCTTGTATAACTACATATGAATTAACAAAAACTAACTAACTAACAATGTCCACCAGTCAGGCATTATGTAATGAATCTCAAGATCTGGGGCTGACTCCTCCCACCACAAGGACTAACTAACTAACTAACATTTATTCCCAATGGTCAAGCATGTTGATAGGAACTTCAAGATTTTTCCTCCTAAGGACTCCATATGAATGAGTGAAACTAACTAAAACTACTTAACTAACCAACTAACCTATTTCCAACAATCAAGCCTGTTGATAGGAATGTCAAGATTCGGGCTGTCTTGTATAACTCCATATGAATTAACAAAAACGAACTAACTAACTAACTAACTAACTAACTAACTAACCTATTTCCAACAGTCAAGCCTGTCAATAGGAATGTCAAGGTTTGGGCTGTCTTGTATAACTCCATATGAATTAACAAAAACTAACTAACTAACTAACTAACCAACCATCTAACCTATTTCCAACAGTCAGGCATGTTCATAGGAATGTCAAGTTTTGGGCTGTCTTGTATAACTCCATATGAATTAACAAAAACTAACTAACTAACTAACTAACTAACTAACTAACCTATTTCCAACAGTCAAGCCTGTCAATAGGAATGTCAAGGTTTGGGCTGTCTTGTATAACTCCATATGAATTAACAAAAACTAACTAACTAACTAACTAACTAACCTATTTCCAACAGTCAGGCCTGTTGATAGGAATGTCAAGGTTTGGGCTGTCTTGTATAACTCCATATGAATTAACATATGAATTAACAAAAACTAACTAACAATGTCCACCAGTCAAGCATTATGGAATGAATGTCAAGATCTGGGGCTGACTTTCCCCACACAAGGACTAACTAAGTAACTAACTAATATTTATTCCCAATGGTCAAGCATGTTGATAGGCACGTCAAGATTTTTCCTCCTAAGGACTCCATATGAATGAGTAAAACTAACTAAAACTAACTAACTAATTAACTAACCAACTAACCTATTTCAGTCAGGCCTGTTGATAGGAATGTCAACATCTGTCTTTCCCTCCATATCACTCCATATGAACTAACCAACCAACCAAGCAACCATGTCCAACAGTCAAGCATGTCTGTTTTTCCCTTCTTGAGAAACTAACTAACTTCAGCGTGGTGGAAGGAATTTCAAGATCTGGAGCTGTACTTCCCCTCCTCAGGACTCCATATGAACTAACTAACCTCAATAGTCAAGCATAGTGGAAGAAATGTATGAACTAACTGACTGACTGACTGACCGACCGACCTCAGTAGAACTAACTAAGCTCAATAGCCAAGAATGGTGGAAGAAATGTATGAACTATTGACTGACTATTGAATTGACTGACTGACTGACCTCAGTAGTCGGAAAGAATTGTCAATCTATCTATGTCCTTTTTGAGACTAACTGTGACAAGTTCCTGACTAACTGTTCCACTGACCGACTGGAATAGTGTCACTGGGGTAAACTCCGGCCTCATTTACTCAAGCAAACAGTAACTGGCTTATCATGAGCTTTACTCAAGGTTTAACAGACAGTTCAAAGCCTAATCATGTGAGGTCTCTGGAACCCTTTATATTCTATCACTAACATGAGGGAAGTAACTGCATATTTCTCTGCATGGTTAACTGAAGCTGACGCAATAACTATCCTAGCCTATGCAGCAAACAGACTGATCCCAGATACACAATAGCACAGGCTTACCGGATAAGGTCAAGTAAAGCATCAGCTGAGCTCATGATGGGCTTCCCGCTGTCCTCTGAATCCTCCTTCTGGGCAGCTCCACCCGGGTGGATGATGATGACCATGACGATGCCCACCACCACAGCCACAAAGGTCGTCCACAGATAATAAGAAACTGTCATGATTCCCAGTCGACTAGAGCATTTAGCATCCAGTGCTGCCAAACCAGACATCAAACTGAGGAGAGAAAAACATTTTTAAAGAATATATAAAACAATTCATAAATCAGTTGAATGCAGAAATGCTAAAAATAAAATAAAATAATAAATAAAGTAAAATAAAAAATTCAAAGACCAGAGCTAAATAATAATAATACATAAAATCTCCAAAACAGGTCAATTTTGTGTCTTCATTGTTCAATATCTACACAGTAAATATACTTTTTCAGTAACTTCAGGTTTTGGGGAACATTAAATGTGAAGTAGACTTAAAAAAAGATGCAATATAACATGTATCTCCTGATATAACTTAAAAACAAGCCACATGCTTTGATTTGACTTAATGGTGCCATCACCGAATCTATCATCAGTGACTGCACTATCCTCAACAACTCAACAAAGATATCATATATGGAAAAGAACAGATTTTTGCCACCTTGAACAACCTTTCACCCAGCTGTGAGAGTAAGACTAAGACAGATGTTTGCTCTGTGTGTTGACCTCTGATGTATCTTCAGTGCATTCGATCCATTCCATACCAATTCAGAACAGAACAGAAAGAAATTAGGCTTTACAATGTAAGTTTAGCTTTACAGAGTCTACTATAGCCACTTCAGGTAGTTCTATGGCCATTATTGTCCATTTGTTCATAGGGAATGTCCTCTATGCTGATCTCAACATAATAAAAGTAATTTTTTTGTGATCACGATATAACCAACGTTTTTTTTTTTCATGATCTAGACAAAACAAAGGCTGTTTTCATCACATTCACAAGAAATAAACGGTAGGTTTCTTATCATTTCTTTAATGACAGAAAACCATTTAAAAGTGTCAAAGATCATTTCATAAGCATGCAGGGATGTGTTTCCTGAACAATGATGTGATCTGCTGCTTAACAACCATAGTACGATATATTGTTGAGAAACTAACTAGCTACACTCTAAAAAATGCTGGGTTGTTTCAACCCAACTTTGGGTCAAATATGGACTAACCCAACTTTTGGGTTAAAAATTTAATGTAAAAATTTAACCCAACAGCTGGGTTAGTCCATATTTGGAGATGGGAAAGTCCAGATAAAGTCTCTACGTCTGGGCAACAGCTGGGTTAGTCCATATTTGACCCAAAGTTGGGTTGAAACAACCCAGCATTTTTTAGAGTGTAATCATGACTGTGTTCCGAAAATGTACAAACTTTGTCACTCAGAAACGTAGGAGCAATGTTGGAACCATATTGGTTAGAGCCATCGTTTATGAGGTCAAGCAGGTGGTGGAGCGATAATTTCTGCTAATTAATCAGTTCAAGATCAAATTAATGTCAGACTATTGCTGTAAATAGCGAACAGCATGCTCCGCTTTTTTGTTCTGTTATTTTGTTGTATTTTGCAGGTTTCCTTACATCACTCAGGCGTTCCCCCTGGTACTACAGCATATACACTCTAAAAAATGCTGGGTTGTTTCAACCCAACTTTGGGTCAAATATGGACTAACCCAACTTTTGGGTTAAAAATGTAATGTAAAAATTTAACTCAACGGTTGGGTTAGTCCATATTTGACCCAAAGTTGGGTTTAAACAACCCATCATTTTTTAGAGTGGCTTTTGAAGAGCTGTACCTTTGCATATGCCAGTCCTTTACGTAAAGACATCCTTTGGGTGCAGAATGCCCATTCTGAATGTACTCTCTCCAGTACTGCATAAACTCCTTGATTTAGAGTGTAGTCATGACTGTGTTCCGAAAATGTACAAACTTTGTCACTCAGAAACGTAGGAGCAATGTTGGAACCATATTGGTTAGAGCCATCGTTTATGAGGTCAAGCAGGTGGTGGAGCGATAATTTCTGCTAATTAATCAGTTCAAGATCAAATTAATGTCAGACTATTGCTGTAAATAGCGAACAGCATGCTCCGCTTTTTTGTTCTGTTATTTTGTTGTATTTTGCAGGTTTCCTTACATCACTCAGGCGTTCCCCCTGGTACTACAGCATATACACTCTAAAAAATGCTGGGTTGTTTCAACCCAACTTTGGGTCATATATTGACTAACCCAATCAAAAGTTGGGTTAGTCCATATTTGACCCAAAGTTCAAAGTTGGGAACCCAGCATTTTTTAGAGTGTACGCACATGCACACTCTTTAAAAACTATGCTTCAATTCTCAATTCTAATTAAAAGACGTAGAATGAAATTTATACTGCATGTCAGCTTGCTTATTTTGCTCAAATGCATGATCTATTTGTCCACATGTCATGCTATCAAGAAACTATGCTTCTAACCACAGGTCGAGAGCTGTAGTTCCAACCACACATTTTTGCAATGCTGTTTGGGTATATTCATTGGAACTGTGGATTCAGGAAACACCAAATTAGTGAACTATGTTGAATTCAATATTTAAAAAAAAAAAAGCAATTCTCCATTGTATTCCAGACTTTGGAGGATTTGTAAGACAGAAAAGCCAAAATGATCTCTGATATAGAGACAATGAAAAGAGCTTGTTAGTAATGAAATCTTTGCTGTCATATGAGACAGCCATTGCTGGAGAGTAGCTAACCAAAAGAAGCAACCTAACTAACTTAACTACTAACCTAACTACATCAATCAGTAGTGCAATATTAAATATACAATTATTTTATATTATTGTAAAACAGCATTATATTGGCTTGGATTAATAGTTTAGATTACCAAGGCTTTTTTTTATTTTCACAGTGTGCACCGATAAATCATTCGCAATAAGAACAGGAGCGTGTAAGTTAAGATTATTCAACATGCATTTCTGGCATAATGTTGTTCACTGCAAAAAGTGAACAGGGCCAATTTCTGGAGAATTTAAAATAAATATGAAACTCATAATTTTATAAAAGCACTGACATTAATTCCTCTGTTCAAAGTTGCATATTATTTGAGCTGTAAAATAGTTTTAGAGTTTTAGGTGTTATTGTTGAAGTTATAAAACACAGAAAAAGTTTTTTCAGACTAAAATCATGTTCACATATGCTTTATGTCATGTAGCTATACCACTGAAACAGTGACTACTTTAATGTTTGCATGCACTTCCACTGAAAGTGAAGAAAAAAGGTCAAATTAATTGTTTTGCTAAGCAATATTAGTGCTGTCAATTGAACTTAACTTGAACATGCACTATGTAAATATATATAAAATATGTTATTTAAAAAAAATAAAAATAAAATCTGCCAATGTGGTAAGAAAAATATTCTTAATTCAAAGGGAAACAAGATTATTTTTCTGCCCCCATTGGCAGATAATTTTTCTCATTTTAAACAGAAACTCACTTCATTTTGATACATTCTGATACAAAACAAAACTTAATATCTTATGCCATTATGCTTCTCAAGTACATGTATCTTGGTAAAGGATATTTGTAATGGAAAACAAGAGAAAAATACTAAGTATGAAAATCAAATTTTGCAGTGCCGAATATTCCTTTAGCAAAGTAAACAGACTGAAGTCATTAGAATCGACATGAAAAAAAAAGAACACTATTTAATTGACTTTAATCACTCTATAGTTTAGTGTCTAATATTCCATACTTGTTTTCTTTTGTAGCAGTATAGTGTACTGACTGCTGGTTGTGCGCGAGCAGGTGCTCATGTATGCTAATAGTGTATGTACATGTGTGTTAAGCCCCTTGCTGTCTGACCCTGCATGTGTTTCTGCTACAGGCGGCCAGCAGGACTTTCAGACCATCTGGAGCTTTCTGTGAAGCACCTCTGTTTGACAAGAGCATTACCCTTATCCTGCCTGGAGATGGGAAAGTCCAGATAAAGTCTCTACATCTGGGCATACAGTATATAGTAGAAACACTCACACAAGTCCATGTGGGTGAATTGCTTGAAAACATGTCCAGTATACATTTTAGCCAAAATAATAAAAGGTGTAACAATGCATTGTTACACCTTTTATTATTTTGGCTAAAATGTATACTGGACATGTTTTCAAGCAATTCACCCACATGGACTTGTGTGAGTGTTTCTACTATATACTGTATGCCCAGATGTAGAGACTTTATCTGGACTTTCCCATCTCCAGGCAGGATAAGGGTAATGCTCTTGTCAAACAGAGGTGCTTCACAGAAAGCTCCAGATGGTCTGAAAGTCCTGCTGGCCGCCTGTAGCAGAAACACATGCAGGGTCAGACAGCAAGGGGCTTAACACACATGTACATACACTATTAGCATACATGAGCACCTGCTCGCGCACAACCAGCAGTCAGTACACTATACTGCTACAAAAGAAAACAAGTATGGAATATTAGACACTAAACTATAGAGTGATTAAAGTCAATTAAATAGTGTTCTTTTTTTTTCATGTCGATTCTAATGACTTCAGTCTGTTTACTTTGCTAAAGGAATATTCGGCACTGCAAAATTTGATTTTCATACTTAGTATTTTTCTCTTGTTTTCCATTACAAATATCCTTTACCAAGATACATGTACTTGAGAAGCATAATGGCATAAGATATTAAGTTTTGTTTTGTATCAGAATGTATCAAAATGAAGTGAGTTTCTGTTTAAAATGAGAAAAATTATCTGCCAATGGGGGCAGAAAAATAATCTTGTTTCCCTTTGAATTAAGAATATTTTTCTTACCACATTGGCAGATTTTATTTTTATTTTTTTTAAATAACATATTTTATATATATTTACATAGTGCATGTTCAAGTTAAGTTCAATTGACAGCACTAATATTGCTTAGCAAAACAATTAATTTGACCTTTTTTCTTCACTTTCAGTGGAAGTGCATGCAAACATTAAAGTAGTCACTGTTTCAGTGGTATAGCTACATGACATAAAGCATATGTGAACATGATTTTAGTCTGAAAAAACTTTTTCTGTGTTTTATAACTTCAACAATAACACCTAAAACTCTAAAACTATTTTACAGCTCAAATAATATGCAACTTTGAACAGAGGAATTAATGTCAGTGCTTTTATAAAATTATGAGTTTCATATTTATTTTAAATTCTCCAGAAATTGGCCCTGTTCACTTTTTGCAGTGAACAACATT